GGGGTTTGGGGGCCTCGGCAGGGTCTGGGGGCGTATGGCCATGAGGGGGAACAGAGGATTTTTTGGGAGCATTAGCAGGTTTGGGGTGTCAGTGAGATTTGGGGTGGTCAGAGCAGTTCAGGAGTCTCAGCGTCGTTCGGAGGGGTTCAGGAAGCCCAGAGCGATTTGAGGGGGATCAGAGCAGTTGTGGGGCAGTCCGGGGGGGTCCCACCTGCCCCCCCATCCGTGTGTCCCCCCCCCACCTCAGGAGAAGTTCAGCCCCGTGAAATATTTCTCCATCGACCGCGTGTTCCGCAACGAGAGCCTGGACGCCACGCACCTGGCCGAGTTCCACCAGGTCGAGGGGGTCGTGGCCGACCGGGGGCTCACCCTGGGCCACCTCATGGGCACCCTCCGACAGTTCTTCACCAAGCTGGGTACACGGGGGGCACGGGGGGGGCACCCCGAACCCTTCTGACCCCTCGTGTGCGCCCCCCTGACCCCCCCTGTGTGCCCCCAGGGATCTCCCAGCTGCGTTTTAAACCCGCCTACAACCCCTACACGGAGCCCAGCATGGAGGTGTTCAGCTACCACGAAGGTGAGGGGGGATCCTGAGGGGGTCCCCATTTACAGCAGGGACGTCTTGGGGGGCTCCTCTTATAGCTGGGGGTCCCCTTAGAGCGAGGTTTGGGGGTGGGGATCAGCCTGACCTGGAGTTCCTCCCCGGAGCGAGGGGAGCACTCTGTGGTTCCAGTATTTGGGGGAGGGGGTCTTTGGGGTGCCCCGTCTCATCCTCGCTTACCCCCCCCCTCGCCCCCCAGGGCTGAAGAAATGGGTGGAGGTGGGAAACTCGGGGGTCTTCCGCCCCGAGCTGCTGCTGCCCATGGGGCTCCCCGAAAACGTCTCTGTCATCGCCTGGGGGCTCTCTCTGGAGCGGTGAGTGGGGGGGTCACCTGTGGGGGGGGGACCCCGCTGTGGGCCCAGCCCGTCTCCCCCACCCACTAACCCCCCCCCCCTCCATCGCCCCATCTCCCCCAGACCCACCATGATCAAATACGGCATCAAGAACATCCGGGAGCTCATGGGGCACCGCGTCAACCTGCAGATGGTCTACGACAGCCCCATGTGCCGCCTGGACGTGTGACACACCCCCACACCCCCCGGGGGTCCCCTCTTTTTAGGGAGGGGGTCCCCACTCCCAATAAAGCCCCGTGCTCTGTCGTGCCTGTGTGTATGTGTGCGTGCTGGGGAAGGGAACCTGTGTTGGGCGGCGCTCGGAGAGAGTTTATTATCACCTCATGGCCTCGCACGGCGTCGGTGAAGCCGAGGCCTTCCCGGGACCCCCCGAGGCCTTCCCGGGACCCCCGAGGTTTCCCCGGAGCCTCCCGGGCTCCTCCGGCTCTTCCCGCCTTTCCCTTTTGTGGTCGGCGATTGGCCCGCGCAGCTGCCAATTATGCCCTGGGCCCCCTTAATGCTCCAATCAGCAGCGCCGGGGTGTGAAGGACGGGCGCTGATTGGGCGCCGGCGGTGCCCGCCCAGCAGGCCCCCCGTGAGGGCGGTGTGGTGAGCGGCGGCCGAGGGTCCCGCGATTGGGGCCCCCGCGCCCCCAGCCCACCCCGGCGACCCCGGCCCGGCCCGGGCTTAGTGTCCCCAATCCACCCGCGGGATCCAGCACGGCCTCCGAGACCCCGGCCCGGCCCGGGTTTAGTGTCCCCAATCCAGCGCCGGTACCTTCACCTGGGCCGGGCCTTGCACCCCCAGCCCATTCCCGGAACCCGGCCTGGGGTCGGGGCTGTACCGGTCCCAACTCGGGCGTCCTTCCCCTGCAGCTCCTCGGGGCCGGGATGTCACGGGAGGAGCCTGAGAGTCCCGAGCCAGAGGCGGCGGCAGGGGACGGCCCCATCTCGGAGGAACTGAGTGGGGATGAATCCCACGGCAAAGACCCGGACAGGTACCGGCTTCACCCTGCGCCGATATTTTGAGTGTAAGTGGAGGAAAAAGAGCGGAGAGAGATGCAACAGCCCGCCAGGCAGTGCGGGGAGGGATGACACAAGTGTCACCACGAGTCACAATGTTAATTAGATGGTAATTATTAATTAACGGGCCTGGCGGGGTTGTAGCAGGGCAGAGCCTGGGCCTGTCGCCGTGGATGCGGGACCCTCACAGGGTGCACACCCGTGATGAGGGGTCCCTGTCCCCGTGTAATCCATTCCCGTGACGGGGCAGGGATGTCCCTCACCCTGTCCCCGTGGGGTTTGTGCCCCTCTCAGGGTGATCCCTGACCCCGTGTGACCCATGGCGGGGGTCCCTGTCCCCGTGGGGGTCCATGGGCTGTCCCCCACCCCTCCCCGGTGGGGTGCACACCCCTGACAGAGCGTCCCACGTTCTGGCCCAGGCCGTGTGAGGAGCCAGTGCTGGGCCACCGCTCGTCCCTGTATTTCGCCTCGCTGGATGCCACCATGGAGGGGCTGCAGCGGCGGGCTCGGGACATCTGCAGCCGCCTCGCCGAGAGCCGCCAGGAAGACCAGACGGTGCTGAGCGGCTTCAGGGAGAGCTTCCTGCTGAAGGTAAGCCTGCGAGGTCCCCCTCCTTCCCCCCCGGGGCACGGGGAATCGCGTTATTCCGCCCCGCTTGGTGAGAGAGAAGGGAGACAGAGCCCGGGTGGGGAGGCAGCTGCGGAGCTCAGCCGGGGGGAGCCCCCCGAGCCCCCGCGGGGGTGGCCGCAGCTGCCTCCGGCCCCGCTTCGAGCGGCCCCCGATGTCCCCCCCTTGTCCCCACGCTGCCCTCGCTCCGGACTTCGCTCCCGCCGATGTCTCCGCAGCCGGGAGGGGGGGTCCTGCTGGGGAGGGGTCCCCAGACCCCCTCGCAGATGGCAGCCCGGCCTGGCAGCTGCGGCCCGCGCTGACCCGGCGCTCGGTGGCCACCTCGACCGGCTCTGCGGCTACCGGGGCGCAGCTGGCGGCGGCCGGGCCAGGCCGGGAGCGGTGCCAGAGCAGGAGGGCGCAGCTGCCCCCCCGGCCCCGGGGACGGCGGCCGTGCCAGCACCGGGACGAGCCGCGGCCCCGCTCGGGCAGGTCTCAGAGCTGACGGAGCAGCTGGAGGAGCAGCTCTTCCACTCGTACGGCTTCCACAACAAGCTGATCCAGCAGCGGCTGCAGGAGCTGGACGAGGTGATGGAACGTGTGGAGGAGGTGCAGGCCGAGCTGCGCTGCATCTGCTGCGCCGTAGAGGCGGCTTATCAGGATCTCTGCCTGCAGCCCGAGGCCTGAGGGCACCCCCAGACCTGAGCAGGACCCCCCCCCAAAACCCACGAGACCGCAGGGCTGTGCCGGGCCAAAGGAGGATTTTGGCCCCAAAGGGCTTTTTTGTTGCTGTTGCTGTTGGTGGTTGGAACAAATAAAGGGCTGAAGCCGGCCCAAAAGCTGAACGTGGGGGGGGGGGGCTGTGCTGGGCTGGGACCCCCCCGAGGGCAGCGCTGGGTCCTGGCAGGTTAATTAACGCTGACGAAGCAGGGCTGGCATGGACGGGGCTGTCCCACCGTTTATTGGCCACGGGGATGGCGAAGGCACCGGGCACGGGGGCCAGCACCAGTGGGGTTCCCTGAGTGACCCCGAGTCCTGTCGGTGACCCCGAGTCCCGTCAATGACACGAGATGTGCTTGGTGACACCGGGTCCAGCCAGTGACGCAAGATTTGGTTGGGGTGACGCCGAGTCCCGTTGGTGCCAGGAGGTCCCATCGGTGACACCGGCTCCTGTCAGTGACACTGGGTCCCTTCTGGGGACACTGGGTCCAGTCAGCACCGCCATCACCTCTTCACGAGGAGCAGACCCAGTCCCCACCAGTGCCACCACGCTGCTGTGTCCCCACTACGTCCCCTTTGGAGGGGCAAAGGCCTGGATGCCGGTGATGGCGCGGCCCAGGATCAGCGCGTGGATGTCGTGGGTGCCTGCAGGATCACCACACACACACACAGACCTCAATGTGAACCCCAAAAACCCCCCGGGGAACGCCCCCGCCCCCCTCCCCACCTTACCCTCGTAGGTGTTGACGGCCTCGAGGTTCATGAGGTGCCGGATGACGTGGAACTCGTCGCAGATGCCGTTGCCCCCCAGCATGTCCCGCGCGTCCCTCGCGATGGCCAGCGCCTTCCCGCACGAGTTCCGCTTCAGCATCGACACCATCTCGGGGGCGGCCCTGCGGGGGGACACGGACAGGGACGCACTGACCCCCTCCGGGACCCCCCCCCGGCCACCCCTGGGGACAGTGCCACCCACTTTCCCTCGTCCTTGAGGCGGCCGAGGCGCAGGCAGGCGTGCAGCCCCAGCGTGATCTCCGTCATCATGTCCGCCAGCTTCTTCTGCACCAGCTGGTTCCGGGCCAGCGGGCCCCCGAACTGCTTCCTGCGGGCCGGAGGAGGGGGGCAGTGAGGTTTGGGGGAGCTGAGGAGTGCTGAGACCCCCCCCCCCCCACCCCCAAAGCGCCCCCAGACCCCATTACCTGTCGAGCACGTATTGCCTCGCAGTCTCCAGACAGGCCTCGGCAGCGCCCAGCGCGCCCCAGGCGATGCCGTAACGCGCCTGGGTCAGGCACCCAAAGGGGCCCTGGGGGACAGGGGGGTGTCATTGGGACACCCCCAATCCCACCAGGACCCTCCCCAGGACCCCCTGGCTCGCCCCCTTACCGACAGCCCCTCGGCTTTAGGCAGCACGTTCTCCTCAGGCACCTCCACGTCGTCCAGGACGATCATCCCGGTGGTGGAGGCACGCAGGGAGAACTTGCCCTCGATTTTGGGGGTGCTGAGCCCGGGGGTCCCACGCTCCACCAGGAACCCCCGGACCCGCCCGTCCTCCTCACACCTGGCCCACACCACGCACAGGTCGGCTATGGGTGAATTGGTGATCCTGGGGAGTTTGGAGTGGGGTCAAGGAGGAGCTCTGGGGTTCCCCCGTGTCCCCCTCACCCCAATTTCGAGGCTCACCAGGTCTTGGACCCGCGCAGGGTGTAGGTCTTGGCGCTGGGGTTGTGCCGTGCCCGCGTCTCCATCCGCCCCGGGTCGCTCCCGTGGTTGGGCTCCGTCAGCCCAAAGCACCCCACAATCTCCCCTCGAGCTGGGGAGGGGGTGTCAGGGCCACGCCGAGCTGCCCCCCTGACCCCCAACCACCCCATCACTCCCCTCTCCTCCCCACAGACCCCCCCCCAAACCCGCGCCATTCCCCGTGCCGGGGGTCTCACCCAGGCGGGGCAGGTACCGCTCTCGCTGGGCGGGGGTCCCGTAGGCCCACAGGGGGTACATGACGAGGGAGGACTGCACGCTGAGCACGGAGCGGTAGCTGCTGTCCACCCTCTCCAGCTCGCGGGTCACCAGCCCGTAGCCCACCGACGTGGTGCCCGCACAGCCGTACCCTGCGGTGACCACCCCACCCCGGCGTCAGCCATGGTCACTTTGGGACCCCCCCGGGGTGTCCTCAAAATCCCGGTGTCACGTAGGAACCCCCTCCCCAGACACACAACCCCACCCTGGTGAGTGTGATCCCTCAAAACCCCCAGACACGGCCCCCAGGAGCCCCCCAGGGTTACCCCAAAACTGTCCCCAGGAGCCCCCCAGTGTGACCCCACTGTGCCCCCAAACCCCATCCCTGAGCCCCCCAATGCCCCCCCGGATTCATCCCCCACCTCAGCCCCCCAATAATCCCCTCAGGAGCCCCAGGGGGAGGCCCTGACCACCCCCACCCCCTCTTTGTGTCCTCAAATCGCCCCCCCGGGGGTCCTGATGGCCCCTCCTCACCTTGAAGGGTGGGGCCCAGCAGCCCCAGTTCTCCCAGTTCAGTCACGATCTCCCTGTCAAAGACTGGAGGGGGGGGCAAGGTGCAGGTGAGGAGGGGTCGAGCTGAGGAGGGGGGGGACCCCTGAGGGGGAATTTGGGGGTCCCCCACACCCCCGCCCACACCATGGGACTGCGGGAGGGAAAGTGGAGACAGAATTTGGGGGGTGTTGGAGGAATTTTGGGGAAGACCGGGAGGGGTCAGGCTGTACCGGGGAGGGTCAGGGGGTACCGGGGAGGGGTCAGGGGGTACCGGGAGGGGTCGGGGTGTATCGGGGTGTGCCGGGGGGCTGTTTTTGGGGTACCCTCGTGGCGGTTGGCCTGCAGCACGCGGGGCAGGAGCCTTTCCTGGCAGTATTTGCGCGTCGTGTCCCGCAGCAGCCGCTCCTCGGAGCTCAGCAGCCCCTCCAGCCCCAGCGGGTCCTGCCAGTCGAAGGTGGGGGCAACTGGGGAGGGCAAGGGGGCAACCCCGGGGGGGGGTCAGCAGCGGGGTCCCGCCACGTCCCGGGATTTGTGGGGCCCCGTCTCCCCCCTGTCCACTCACCCTGTGCGGTGCCTCGCCACCGGACACCGCTCCGGGCCAGGCGCAACAGGGGGGGGGCCAAACGCAGCGCCATGAGGGGGCTGGGGGGGGACACAGGAAAATCAGGGACCCCCCGGTTCTCACCCAGGGATCCTCAATTCCCGCCGGACATCCCCCCCTTTAAACCCCCAATTCAAACCACAGACCTCCCTTGCGCCCCCAAGGCCTCCCAAAGACCCCTCGAGTGATCCCCAACACCCCAAAACCCCCCAGAAGCGTCCCAAGCCCCCCCCCCAGCCGGTGCCGACCCTCCCCGGTGCCCCCCGGTGCGCCCCCCGGTGCCCCCGGACCGTTCGGGCACAGCGGCAGCGAACGGACCCGGTGGAGCCGTGACGTCACGGGGGGTGGGGGGGGCGTGCCGGGGGCGTGCCGGGGAAACACCGGAATTAACCCGCGAGTGTCCGGGCTGGGGGACCGTGACACCCCCCCCCAAATAACCCCGGGCTGCTCCTCGGGGATTGTGCGACCACCAAATCATCACCGGGAGGGTCCGAAGGGCTGCGGGACCCCCAAATCTCCACCCCCCACCCCTCTCCCGGTGTCCCCACCGAACGAGAGCCGGGGGTCGGTGCTGTACAGCCTTTATTGGTCCCCGGGACCCCCCCGGCCCCCCC